ACGAGAAAACTTATTTACTATTCATTCTGTTTTCTATTCATTTCCAACTATGAAAACAGAAAATGGCAACTTCCTGCTTTTGCATGGGCCAATTATTCATGTGATAATGGCCGAGTTATGTTATTAGTCTTATTAGGAGTTTAGTCGTGTAGGTGACCGGATGGGCTAGGGTTACGGGTTAGTTAGGGTTTACGTATTAGGTTTATTTCTTCTATAAATATGTAAGTTTGGCATTAGTTCCGTATCAAATTAATAAATCAAAGGTTTATAGACACCAACGTCTTTCTCTCGCTTGTGAGTTACAAGCAAAACCCTTGAATCGTGGGTTACGTTTCCATCACCGAATCCTTTGCTGCTTGCAGCCTGGTAAGAGTCACTACTCACTAGCTTATATTAGTCACTGATGGATGACTGCTCGAAAGGTTGAGTGGAAATTGATCAAGAAGTGTATGATGTACCATTACTAATAGAGCACCCAATGAAACAAGATACCATCAATGTCCCTTCTAGGTTGTGGTTGCAAGGCGTCACAGCCAACGCAATAAAGAATGGTAGCAACACCCCGTGCATCTGCAAGAGCCAACAAAACTCAAACATCAAGGAACCTGGTTTGGTACTCTCATTAAAAGTGATTATTGGTAGACAGAAAGAGAACGATACATTCTTGTTCTACTCGGTATGATCATTAACCACAAGGGATTAACCTAATAATAGTGTGGAATTAACATAACTATATTATACCATCATTAATAAGAACAAGAAGAGAGCAATAACAATATTATCACTGAAGGTGGTTCTCATGTACTTTCTCCTCTTATTATGGCACAATGTTGCAAGACCAATCTTAGGTATTGGGAAGGGATAATTCAAGAAAGCACATGAAGTACAACAATAATCTAACTTGGTGTACTACTTTTTGATCAGGAGTGAAGAGGTTTGGGAAAAACCAAGGAACAGATGCACCAATGACCGCTGATGTGAATCCAAGTGCATCTCCAATGATGACTAAGGATCTCAACAGCGATCATGCCTGTTTTTATGTATAGAAAACTTTTAGAACAAGGAAGTAGAAAGCAACCTACAAGAAAGGATAAACTTTTACATAGAACAACTGGAAGGATGCCACAAACAAACATAAGTCTACATTATCACCAACCTTTGACAAATTTCGATTGGATCCATATATTAGCTCAGGCAAAAAAGATTGAGCAGTTTGAGAGATAGGCTCGCCCCACACACCACACATGCCAAATACTTGACTCATGACCTAAGGTGAACCATCAGATGTCAATATAACAAAGAGAGAACAACCAAGAGAAAATACACTAAAACTGCAACAAGAGCAGCCAACAACCTGATTAGCTGCCATGTGTGCCCATTGATGTGGCAAAATAAATGAAGGAATAAAATGCAACAAACATCAGGAAAAGTCAATGTTTGGTTCATATAGATAAAATGAAACAAATTTAAGTGATGAAAAATAGAAATGAACCTTTGAGGTCATGGTAATAAACACTGGAGCAGCAAGCCCAAGTATGCGCAAAAGACCATCAAACATCGGAACAGATATTGCTAATGCATTGTAGCATTTCTTGTTCAGAGTGTCAATCATCATAAAGGCTGCAACGACCTACAAATAGATGCCATAAGATTACATTCAAGAGGGAGAAATCAAGAACAAAGAAATTTATCAGGACTCATCCACATACTTGGGACACCATAGTGGCCCATGCTGCCCAGCTATACCATAGCCTAAAAATCTGCAGAGGACTATATCACCAAAACCATTTACAAGAGTAGAAACTGCTAAAGCTTTCAGAGGACCCCGTGAATCTTTCATTCCAAGACAGCAAAACAGGATGAGGCCATTAAAACACGAGTTATCAATCAATCCTTCATAGTACAACAATGGAAGCATGACCAATCAACCAATCCATTCTCTCTCTTTTCCTAGTGAAACAGGTGGTGACACATTAATTTCCACTGTCGCTATTCAACTTAATATTTGCCATCACAATTCATCAAACAGTGATATTGATGAAGTGCTAGGAAAGGAATTGCCATAAACTTTCTACTGCAGGCAACAGCAAGTTCAATGTCACTGCTTCATATTATGAAGCACACAAAATCAACCGCCAAATATTTCAATTCAGAATCGGTTGCAAGAGGAGCAAGCATAAGAGCAGCAGTGACTTGGAACAGAGTACAAAAGCAGCGGTAACTAAAACCATAGTGTCTACCTAGCACTTTGAGCAACCCATCCCACAAGAACTGCGGGCCATGCTAAGCCTAGAATCTGGGAGAAAAGAACAGAAGACATTAATCCTTTGATGATCAAAATGAGCAAGTAGAACATCGTCTGGAAAGTTGAGGCGAAGTTCCTCATTCTGCAAGAAAAAAAATCAGCTGCAGCACAAGTGTCTATAATTTCCGGTTTAAAAATTTAAGGTCCACGATTTACAGAAAACCTTATTCATGCCTACGACTATGGATATGAAAAGAAATAGAAATTGGACATTAGTCCCAGAAAGAAATGAAAAAATATTGCTCTTTCTTCCTACTTAAGACTAACTAAAAATTCAGATCCACATTACAAATTAGACCCTTGAACTACTCCTACCCAATTCTACCATTGTAGCGCACATTTAAAGCTCAGATGATGCTTTAGCAGAGTTACAAGCTTGGATACAATGAAGGGTGTTGACAATGACACAGTTTAGACCATAATACTCAAGTACCATCAAGAAGTCGCCCAATCCTTGCCACGGAAAACTATTACACCATAACATTTTCACTCTTTCTTTTCTGAACTTCAAATGTTCCTCGATGAAAAATGAAAAATTCTTTGAGTACAGTACCTGGAGTCCTGGACGTAAGTATTTGCTGCGGGTATTAAATCAAGGTTCCTTTGTCCTGCAAAAGCTGAAGAATATGGACAGAAAGGAAACAAGGAAAACACATCATTCATTTGGCCAACATAAATTCCACCCAGAAATTGAAAATGTGAATTACACGAAGACAGAACAAAAAAGTCATGACTAATGTAGGACTGATCAAAGCTTTACCAGTCTCCATTACCAGTAGGTGCCCACGAACCACATAACCTCGTGAAGAACAGCATAAACACTCCACATACCAATCCAACGAACAAAAGTATTGATATTTGATGCTGCACTTCTGATTTATCCTACAGAATTTTGTCAAATAACAGAAATTAACAATTGGCAGAGAGATGAGAATTGTAAACAAATGTAATCCAAGAACGTTCCTTCAGAAACTTGCTGGTCCAACCAACCCTATGAAGCAGCATTGAAGTTAATCGAAACCAACCATAGATGCTCCACAATCAAAAAGCTGCCATCAAACAAACCTGCTTGTCAAAAAAAAAAAACCAACCTGTCTGGCGAGGGAAGTAGCAACCGAGAGAAACATGAACACGTAACAGATATAATCACAGAACACCGTCCCAGGTCCTGTGATCAACATAAAGAACAAACTTTTTCAGTCAATTGCCCATCAATGGCAACCATTTCGTTCATTCATAAACAACAAAGAAGCTAGTAGTCAGTAATTACGTAAAGCTGCAAGCTCAAGGGAGCTTCCCTGACCAATGACAACAGTGTCGATGAGACTCATCAAGGGTCCACACAACCAAAGCCCAGTAGCAGGCCCAGTGAACATGGCAATCTCCTTGATTTGATTCCAGAAGCTCTGGTTCTCCAGCCCCTCTACGGTTCCCGCCGCCACCTCCGCCAACGATTTTCCGCCATGCTCACCACCTTCATTCACGCTCTCCTCCTGGCTCTCCCCAATGCTGCAATTGTTCCGAAACAGATTCCCGACGTCGTCCTTACTACTTCCGGAAGAGAAAGTTGCGGCGACGTAAATACGGCGGGGCGTGACTCGTGAGCAAACTACAAGCAGCAGGGAGCGGCCTGTGAAAGAAACCCAGTGATTGGGGACTGTAAAAGCGCCGGAAAATAGGGTTTGGAAGAGGAATGGCTGGTGGGCGAGGTAGAGTAGTGAGTTGCATCTTGGAAGGCGGGGAACAGAAGCAAAAGGAGCAGATTGGATTAATTGAAGAGATGTCTATTTTAATGGTTTAAATAAAGCAATTACTTCTTTATTTTTAAGGTTAAACCGTGGTGACTATTGGTTAGCCATAGTTTATTTGATAAGTTACTGAAAATAGTTTGTTATTTTCTTTCATAAATTTTTTTTTAATTCATATTTTATAATAATAAAAGAGTCCAGGTTACCATCTGCTAGGTCCAATCCTTATTGTAGGTTAATATCAAATTTAATTATACCTACTCCTAAATTTCCCGTTCCTTTGACAATAATACTTTCCTCTTCATTAATGAGTCTATCATCACGAATTTCTAATTCCATGGTGCGTCAATTCCTATTTTCATGGTTGATTTTAAGATAATTTGGATTGTACTAATATGAATATAAGGTATTTTATTTCGTTCTTCTAATCTTAGTTTAGCTAAATTTTTTTTAATTTGTTCTTTATTTATTACTTGGATAAGAAAATCGCCCTTAGTTTGATCAATAGGGACTGCTATTTCACCTATCATTTTACCGTATTTAATAATGTTTTATCTATCAAAGAGTTTTGATACAAAAGACTTCGTGATAAAGTTTTGAGTTTCCGAAATAGTAAAATTAGTTTTTTCTCTAATTTTCTTGATGTCTATAACACCATCTAAGAAGTAGTTTTCATCATCGTTTTTGTTCAAATAGTCAAAATAACTTGAGGTAGGATTATTAGACATACTTGACTTGTTTTTCTGAGGAAATCCTGAGTTTTTTTTATGATCGCTTGATGATTGTAGCTGCTCTCCGTACGTTTGATTATATTGATGGTGGTTGTGGCCTCCAGGATCAGTGGATCCACGCCTTACAAGTAGCAAGCTAGAGGGAGAGAGAGAGAGAGAGAGTAAACATGCAATTTTTATGGCCAAACTCTATCTGCCTTATTTCATTGCAAACTCTTGCTCTTATATAGAGCTGGGAGGAAATACAAAGACGTCATTGCTTACGTCTGTGAGATAGGGACGTAAAGCTAACATGTCAAAAGAAAGCACGTGAAAACGATAAGAAAAACTTATAAAATACAATAATGCACGACTTTTTTAAAAAGGAGTCAGTCAACCTTTTCTTGTTGTTTTATCCCATATTTGTTTGATTCCTCTTTCTTCACATGCTTCTCTCAGTCTTGGTCTGCTGGTCCATTGATGTCTTCGTCAGTTGATGCACACCACTCACAGAAGTGGTCCTTATAGATAGTAAGTGCATTGCAAAGCTGTTTCTTGATTTGGATAGGGAGGGCTGACATATTTCCATTAATTTCAGTGAATTCTTTATTTTTATCTGTTATGATTGTCCATTCTTCTTTGGTCATGTTTCCTCTAGTTTTGCTGGTGATGATGGCATCGGGGTTGCTGTAATTGACTTTGATATGATTTTCTGGTTCAATCTTGGTTAATGCTCTGCATACTGCTAGAAGACCCTTTACTTGGTACTCTGGGTTCTTCTCATAATCTCGTAGGTCATCTCTGGTAGGATAATCATGATTTGATACTCCCATAAGGATAACTGCCTTTGATCCGACAAATAGCTTGTCTGGATCGAATATGGGGTAGCTGCTTGTATACTTGAGAAATATTTCTCGTTCTTTAGCGAATAGCTCAAGGTATCTTCTGATTACGTTCCTCATTCTTTGTGGGAAGTATTCAAATACTTTCATGGTTGTAGTGTAGATTGTGTCAATTAATCCATACTAATAGAACTCAAAAGAGAGTTCTGGTGATGCTTCTTCTGTGATTACTGCTTTGGGTCCTCCTCGACTGACAGGGTAAAAACCCATGATTGTGTGTTTTTCTTCGTAGTTGATTATCATATCCCAGTTGGATACGAACTTCTGAAAGACTGGTTTTAATTGTTATTCTTTTTCTTTGGTGGCTGGGATGCTTTTGATACTAGGTATCTTCATGATAAGTTTCTGCGATTGTTGCTCTTGATTCTTGATTGGTTCTTTCAATGCCATCACCTTGTATGACTGTCTAAATGCTTCTTCGGCTGCTTCTTTTATTTTTAAATGATTGATGTTGGACTGGTTTGTCATTTATGTGCTGACTAGCGATGGCCCAGTTGTGATATACTCCTCGATATGGTCCATTGAATATGACATACCACTTGCTGCCTTTTCTGTCGTCGTCTTCATAGTGGGAATCTCTTCCTTCATTTTCTTCTTGTTCAAAGATTTCTGCTCATTGTGTCGTCTTTTGTGTATTATTGATGGTAGTAGTAGATGATTGTGTTGATGCCGACTTTTCTTTTTCGGCAAGTTCTGTGGTGGGTGTTGATGACTGTCCATTAGCAGAGCTAATTGATAGAATATTGACGTCGATGTAGTTGACCTTTAACTGTTGCTGAATAACATTGATTGATTGAATTATTGCTTCTTCCTCTCCCTGCAAAGGAGAAGTTGGTGTTCCAATGTTGTACTGTTTTCCTATTTTTGCTTTAGCTGATTAATGAGGGTCTTTATTAATCCTTCCATTCTCGAGTTAGTGTGTCGGTGAATGGATTGTTGCTGGACTTGATATACTTCAGATAAGGATTGTAATAATGGAGTTGTTGCTACCACCTGATTAATCTCCCTTTGTTGAAATCTGCTTGTAGCTTGTACCTTCAAAAACCTGTTACATATTTAGAATCGGTTTGAAGTTCAAACCTCGTGGATAATAATTCAAGATTCCACTTTTTCAATGTTCGGAGACAAGCTAGTGTCTCTAATTCATGGATCTGATAGTTCTGTTCAGTGGCGGTAAATGTGCCAGAAATATATTTACATAATTTCTTAATATATTTATCACTGTTGAAAGGAACTAATAATTGAGAATCCGAAGGTCCAATAATATTGTCCGTAGACTGATAATCTTTAGGCTTTTGGCAAGAGGCAGTAGCCTCATTATTTTCAATTTTGATATTACCAAAATTGTCCATTTGTAATAATTCTTTGCCATTTTATATTGCTAACATGCATCCAACCCAAGTATCCTTAGAGGCATCCGTTTGAATTATTAGAAAATCGTTTTCACAAGGGTTATATAATTTTGGTAAATGGTGACATTTTTCCTTCATCGATAAAACTATTTTTGTATCTTGATCATTCCATGACCAAGGGATTTTGCCAGGAAATTTTTTTCCTGTAAATGTTTTCTTTCTTTTGCTAAATCTTTTAAAAATCCTTGGTCACTAATATAATTTAAACATCCAAGAAAACGTTGAATTTGTTTTCTATTCTCAAGTTGGGTTGGGAATTTATCATTTTTTTTTTGGTGTTTGGTGACAACTCAATTTCGCCGAAATTATTAATCATCATACCAAGATATTCAATTTCCCTTTGAAGAAGTTTCGATTTTTTCTTAGAAATAATTAGACCTTTTCCTTTATTCTTTGTAAAACTATCAAAAAATTTTCACAATGATCTTCCTCTTATTGGTTAGTGAAAATGATGATGTAATCAATGTATGCTAAACAGAACGATTGAAAACCGTCCATAAAACGTTGGTAAATAGCTGATACTTGTTTCATTCCAAATGGAAGAACATTCCATTCGTAATGTTTTGTGGTGGACATGAAAAAGCTGTAAAAGGTTTGGTATTCTCATGTAGACGAAGTTGTCAATATCCTGATTTAGCATCTAAACTACTAAATCACGTCTGACCTTTTAATCTTTCTAGTATATAGTCTTTCCGGGGTAATTTATAGTTATCTTCTATTGTTTGTTCGTTTAGTTTTTTTTATAGTTTATTATCATTCTTCTTTTTCCTCTTTTGATTTCGTTATTATTTTCTACATAGAAGGCTGGTGCACTATGAGGGCTTTTGCTTTCTCGTACCCTTTTCAACTAATTCTGAACATTCCTTTTGGAATTCTTCCACAAATCGTTGAGTATATTGAATTTTATTTGGAATATTAACTTCCGTTTTAGGATCTTTTAGTTTAATTTCAATAATTTTCTTATTGTTATTTTTATCTTTATCTAAAGGATGTTCACTACACACCTGGTCTAACGTATCCTCTATAATGCCATAGGTAATTTATACATATTCTAGTCTATTTTTGAGGTTTTGAAGTACAATTTTTAATACTTCGTTTTTAGTGATTATTCTAGTTGTGATTATCTTAGATTCTTGGTTTATTGTTTTAGGACATATGAGGCTAATTGTTTTAATCCTTTGGATGAACGGTTGATATAATTTTAGAAAGTTATTTCCTATTATTATATCTAATTCGGAGTCATGTTGATAGATTGTTTAGGCTGTAAAGAAATGTTTTTCAATGATTATCGGTACATATTGTTTTACATAATATATTTCATGAATAGATTCTACTACTACAATTTTTAGAGGTTTTTCAAGTTTATCCCATTTTTTTATGGTTGATTTTTTGGCAAAACATAGAGTTGCTCCTGTATTAATGTATGCTAAAAAGTTTTTCTTTTCTATTTTAATTTTAATAAATGTTGCATTAGGATTTCCTTTAGTTAGTACCTTCTTCTGACTCATTTGAAGAAGTCTCTGAGTCTGAAATATATTCAATAATTTCTACATCAGAAAGTTCAAAATCTGTTTCTTCGATTGGTTCAAAACCACAGTCGTCTGCCAATCTAAGGACTTCTTGATTTCTAGTATTAGAATTTTTTTAGGACATTTATTTGCGTAATGTCCTTCTTCATCACATAACCAACATCTACAATTTGTCTTTCCTTTAGGACAGTATTCTTGTTGTTTTGTTTATTGTTTAAACTGTTTTCGATTTCTGAAATATTTATTTGGTTTTCTAAACCTATTTTTTCTATATTCTTTATAAGGTGTTTTTCTTCATTTTTTATAATTTTTATATTTTTTACGAGTTTTAATAATCTTATGATCGTTACTACACCCATATTTTCCAACTCTATCCATTATTTATTCACAACAGAGTTTAATGTTAGCTTATTTCTTTAATTTTTCCTCATTACAAGCTCTTTTATGTTATTCTTGTAAAACTAATATTCTGTCCTCCTAATGTATCTGGTATCC